CCAATGATCGTACTCTTGAAGGATCGCTTCCAAGAGCAGGGAGCTGGTCGTTCGGTAGGATCCCGGTTGTCATGAAGAGGCAGGCCAAAAGCAGGTCCCAAAAGCATCGGCTGAGCGATGCTGAGCTTCAACCGCCTCAAACTGTGCTATTTGGCTGCTCTGTGATGCAGAAACCAAAGGCAACGACGGACGCAGAAGACGCACCTACATGGCAAATCGCAGTATGGTCAAGCTGGTGCCGTCAAAGAGATACCCTAAACCCTAAACCACTAAACCCTAAACGCTGTGCTTGAGACCCGTCCGGGCCTCTTACGACACTGGGGCTTGAGCGGCTTGGGACTTCCTACAAACCGTTTTATGGCGACCCTAACCCTCAACAAAGCCGTTTTTTAAATCCCCCTAAGCTCTAACCAACCAGTACTAAACTCCAAACACTTGCAACAAAGATTAAAAAGTCTCTTGCAAACCCTACTACAACCCATGCGGGTGGCCTCATGTACGAAATCTGGGTGTGTCCGAAAATAGGAGTACCCTAAACAATAGGATCCTTATTATAAGGACCCCAAAATAGGGTACCCCTTAATTTCGGAAACCCCCATCTGGCTGGGGCCGGTACCCCATCCACAGCAACGAAGACAACGGTCTTGCCATCCTCCTGGCCGTGGCGGTCGCGAATTTCTTCGGGTCTAGACACTGCTGCTTGTTCAGGGTTTAGGGGTGAGGGTGTAGGGAGGGACCTCATGCAGAGACTGAATGCGCTAGAAGACGGACAACAAGGACTCCTTAATCAGGTATCCTCGGCTTAGAGGAAGCCCGCCCACATGTACCAGGTATTGGAAGGCTCCAGCACCTCTCTTCAAAAGATCGAAGAAAATGCATCTTGAAAGGGTTTTTTCTGCTCGGTCCCTTGCGGGAGTCTGGGATTTGAAGGTGTAGGAGTTCAAAGGCTCAGGAGTCAGGGGTCTGAAGCCAAGCTCCAAAGCGTACGAGCTGTGAGGTGCCAGGAATGAAACTACGCTAGCCCGACCTCCTCCAGTGGTGACACACACACACACCCCTGGAAACTTCTTAACCCTACTGACGTAAGCCCCGCACTGCATCCCCACCCTAACCCCGAAACTCAAAGTGACGTGATCCTCGATTTGAGCACCCCAAAGCTAAACCACTAAACCCGCTGCCTTGAACTCGGTTTGCGCCGCTTCGCCGCTTGCCTTCATTCTATGTCGCAGGGTGTACCATCCAAACACAATGCTTGAGCTCATCACGGATATGGATGTGCTCGGGTGTATGGGGAAAGCAAGGCGAGAAGGTCGTCGACATGCAGTCCGATAGCACACTTTTGTGGCAAAGGGTCCAACGTCTTTGAAGTTGAGGCAAACTTCCGGATGTCTCATGCATGAGATCGTCACTGTCCTCCTCCAAGGCTTGTCTTACCTCTGAGTCGTAGCCGGTGTGCTGTAGGCGAGAGTTGCTGTTGTGGTGGAGCGGCATTCCTCATATCACGCGAGGGGCATCCGCATGTCCGTGCATTGGCTTCCGGACGCCCATGCAGCACTTGTTTCGATGCCCGTGAGACGAAATTGTTGTTGCCTATATAGGAGTACCTACAAATACCCGAACCTTGACTATCTCACACTTGCCCGGCGGATCACTTACTACGTCCCTCAATCCTTGAAGTCGGGTCAGTGATGCCCAGCATTGCCCCGTCGACCGCGGGCAGACTTATCCAAAGGGCACGAACCTTAAAGCCCTGAAGCCCTAAACTCCTTCCAGAACTCAACAGGCCTCAACACGGCATGTCATTTTCGTAGAACCCGGAAATCCAAGCAAATCTACCCCGTAATTGATGTATAATCGTCAAACTCTCGAAACATTAACAGCTTCCCAAGCCCCCCGACACTTCAAGTAAAGCAGCTAAGTCAAACCCTTAACCCACTATTAATCCTCTTCCTGTCCCACCAAGCCCCCGTAAATCCCAAGATCCCCTGCACCCTAAAGCAACCCTAAGGAAAACTCAATATCCCCAAGTATTCTCTGGCAAGTGAATCCTCTTGGAATCCTAGGCAGTCCCGCTTTATACACGGTACAGAACCTGAACAAAAGCAAACTTCATGAACTGGCTAAACCCTAAACCCTAAACCCTAAACCCCCACTTTGGGCACCTCGAGTTCTGCCCTCAGCGTCCCGAGTCGCTCAGCGCTCTCTGCGCGGACACCGTTTGCCTTGCGGCGCTTGTGGATTCCGAAATAGGATCTTGTAAGGTAGGGCATTAGGGTTTTAGGTTTTAGTGAGTTTCAGTTCGAGCTCATGTACGGGTTTTCTTTCTTTACGGGTTCCTGCATCGGTTCTGGATGGGCGATTCGGGGTTTCGGGTTTCGGGTTTGGGTATCAGGGTTTAGAGGCTTATGGGGTGTAGGCTACAGGCTTGCGAATGTAAGGTTCCAGGATCGACACACTTACAGTCTCACTGTCACACCTTGTAAACTGGGTCATAACCCGCTATGGCAGAGAAGGCAGTACTGGTTCAAGGGCCGCGGGCATCAGGTGCATTTTCGGTTTAGGACATGTGGGGTCCGCAGCTTAGGCTAGGGTTCAGGTTTGTTTGAGGTTTCGGTGTGGATTTAGGCTTCAGAGCCTTCAGGAAATCTGGGGGAATTTAGGGACAAATTCTGGGCTCGTTTTAGGTCTAGCGTGCTGAAGGATCTTGAATCCCTAAACCCTAAACCCTAACCGATGCACAGGAGGCTTACGTCCCGCGTTTTAGGATTCCGAATCCTCGTAGTTCCTGTTTGTGGGCTTAAGGATCCGAGCTTCGCGAGTTTAATGTAGGGGCCTTAATAATTAGAATAGGGTTTTGGGCTTCTTTATAGTATTTTATAATGAGGAACCCTAAGAATAGTATTGGTAAATAGATTTAGGCTTCTATATTAGTACTGGCCTAGGCAACGGCAGAATGACTTCATGTGTCTACTGCTACAATTCAAGTCCCCTGGACCCTCAACCTTGCTGTGAACCAGACGGCCAGCCCGGAAGAAAGGACATCTTCACCCAATTCCATCGAACAACTTTGCCACATCTCTGCGGCCGGCGGTACGAACAAACAAACACATGCACGAATTGCATGTGACTGCGACGTTTAGCCTTACACCCCAACTAGTGTTATTTATTCTGGTGCGTCCCCCAGCTGCCCCAAACGTGAACTCCCGAGGGTGCCAAGCAACACGCGTCAGTTTTCTGTCGGGCGCGCTAGCAAGGCTGTGAGTAGCAATCAGAATCCAGTCACACTGGATCTACTCAGAAGCTTATAGTACCAGAGAACAATGTGCGGTAGGTGGACCAGCGCCACATACCCTTAGCCTTTAGCTCGCCGCACATGCATGAAGGGTTTGGGCACGCTTACGCTAGCCGTGTGACACAACACGGCGAGGCAGGCCGACAAATATCTCAGCAAATAGCGGTCTGCGAAGGAAACGAAGATGCATGTGACAGTTATCAAAATGAGTATATCTACAAAGGAACTCTCAAGGACATTGTCCAGCGAGGTAATCTCCGTTCTCCTTGCAGGACTCAGAGAAGCATCAGCAAATTAGTCCCAGTCCTGCAGAAATTTTCAGGGCATTGAAATCAGGTTTGGGTGCAGAAGTGGGGGGTGGAGATTGAAACTTACGGACAAGGCTTGGAGGTTAGGATACCAAGTTTGTTGGCTTTGGGGTTCAGGGCTTGGAGATATAAGGCTTTAGGTTTGGGTATGATAGTGATTGTTGCGGCTTCCGATTAAAAGTCCTGGCTGCATTGCATCGATGTAGACTGCGGCTTTAGTGGGCTCGGCGACAAGTTTGGGGGATTGTGGGCTTTAAGATGTAGGGTGTAGGGGATCTATCGTTTGGGGTTGTGGGGTATCGCCGGTATCGCTCAGCCGTTCGGAGTTTAGTTTTTGAATGGGGGTCTGTGGTTTAGAGTTTGGGGTGTGGGCTTCGTGGTTCAAACATGGAGCCACTGGAGCGGGAGCGGTGTATTTCTTGCGGAGGCTGCAGTTTCAACCGTAGCGCCTCGCAGTCGTCCGTCTAGTAGGTAATGTGTGGATCGCCAGGCTCTGGTGACCACTCCTGGATCCAAAATCAAAATGTATCTAACGCAAACAGTGGACCCCTTGAAGACACGTTATCTCAACGCAGTATCAGGCGGCGGGGCAGAGGGGCTCTCACGCTTTCGGTATTTTGTGGATCTTGGACGAGTTAATGAACCACGACGGACAGGAAGAGCCAACCCACGAGAGACCCCAAAAAGAGATCCAGCAACCAGGAGATGACCAGAGACCCCCAAAATCGCTTCCCCCATGTGCTGGTGGATTGAGAGACACGACCTACCATGCTTCCGGGTTTCAAGACCATGGTGAGAGAATACTTCCCCCCCCTCCCATCTTCAGCAGTTACGACAAGGCTTGCCATATTATTGTGGCGGGATTCAGACATTTCAGGCCAAACAACAAGGCAACTGCACGGGAATGTGCAATGGGGACACACCTCGCACGAACATTAACCAAGTCTCTTTATCCTGAACGATAGAACCCTGTAGCATGTGCCAAGTTGTTTGGTGAAGAAATGGAACCAGACATAGCTATACTGCCAAAGGCTTGAACAGTTCGTTGTGTGAGGGTGATACTTTTTTGATCGTCTACGGCCCCTACAAGACAGCCTCTTGAGTCATGCGGGGGCCTTAGGGTTTAGGGTATCCTAGCTGGTTTTCATAAGGTCTTAGTATAAGGCCTGACATCAAATTTGTCCGGGCCGAACAATTAGGTGAAAGCACACTAAACAGTAAGGTCATTCTCACTGAAATTTAATCTGTCTCCACTACTTCAGAATCGGGGGACTCAGATGTGCAGGTATGAATGCAACAGAGCGGGTTTAACCTAGTGAGCATCCTAATTGAACCTTGCTGGCTATGTCCCTTAGCCACTTGATCCTTTAAGCGCACGTAACCTATGCTAAACCATTCTCCTGGACACTGCCCTCGCCCATCTTGTGGCAGTGGGACAAGATAACAGCTTGAAGACGTCGGAACACCTGACGCCCTTCGCCGCCTGTGCTTCAGAATTGGATTTGAGGGGTGTGAGGGTCAGGGTTTAAGGCTTCAAAAACTGTGACTTGAGGGACTCAGGTTTCATGGTCTTCCGATTGTTGGTGTTGAGCTGTGTGTGAGGATACAGGCACAGCAATCACCTCTGCATCTCCTTCGGCGCAGCCTGCATGAACTGTCCGCATTACATTCAGAAAACTGTGAGTACAAGGCACGGACAGAACGCCTGGGACTTTTTGACAAGGAACGTTGGACAGGCAAAGATAGGTGTTTGTTAATCAACAGGTAAACACAAAGAAAGTAAGGTGACACCGACGTTAGATTTCGCTGCGCCCACATGCAACTAAAGCGGGCGATAAACAACAAAACAACAACAAATGTGTTCTGTATGAAATACGGTCACCTGCGGAGGCTGGACGACCATAAGGTGACTGGGTCTAGTGCAAAAGCTAGAGGAAGGTTCAGTTTGTGTTTCGTTGGCGGTTCGTTCCCTTGTTGAAGCTCTTCCTAGTGCCGAAACCGCATTCATGTCTAACCCCTCCGCCATTGCTCACATCTCATTGTTCCAGTTGCAAAGTGTCTGCTTAATCCCACACGGCCTGTGATTTCGTAGCGGGTTAACCACGGCTGCCACGGTCGCTGAATGTGGACAGGAACCAGTTTGAAGGCAAGGCCACTGCTCTTGTTGCTGTGGTTCAGTTTCGCCAACATGCCAGTGATGTTGATCTCTTCGTTGGTGATAGTGCTCTTCCAGAAGAGCTCGCCATATCTTTGTAGTGCTTCTCCACCTTCAAGCTTCACGAAGGTCATATGCGGGAAAGCGAATTCGCTCTTCATTTCCAGTGGTGCTCGCCGAAACTCCCCATCGACAACATAAGCTTGCATCATGATGTACCTGTGGTAAACTCTCTCTCCATACACATTCATAATTACGTATGCTCTGAAAGCATTCAGGGTATCCAAGATAACACTGCCAGGGAAATTGCTAGAAACTTCCACGCCGGCTGAAATGTCCTCCGAGCATGGTCTGCTTGAACCGTGTCATGGGTTTATTTTGCCTGTCAAGTGGCCGATCTGCACACACCACCTCACCCAGGGCCAGGAATGCTTTCTGGCAATATGCCAGGCGCTTTTCCACTTGGTCAAGCCTGTTTGTAATGTCAAAAGCTGTCGGCACCCAAACATCCTGAGGGGGAAATGTAGGACGGCAGAAAGAAGCAAAGTTACGCAGGCATGCATGTATATCTTCATATGATATGTACATAATATAGATACATATATATATATATATAGATACATACGCATGCATACCACACTATGTAATATGTTTCAACATTCTGTCATAAGCTGCACTGTACTGTAATGGGATGCAGTGGAACAACAGCGTAGTTGATATCATCTAGCGCAAGCAATGTGACACCTAGAACCTGGAAACATACCAGCAAGACTTTGATGCCTTTAAATACTCTGTATGTGGCTACGTATACGTTAGTCAATCATGCCTTTTTGTGTATTCGTATGAGCGACTCTGAGCGACTGTCTAGACTTTGCTCATGAGGGCCAGATCCTGCAATCGGCGGCGTCCTTTTTCAGGGTTTACATACAAAAATGCCCTCCCCATTATTAAACTACCTCTTACTAAGCTTTGCCGATTGCTCATATGCTGTTGTGTATATGAGGTATTCATAGGCGTACATGCGTTTGTGTGAATGCAGAACATCCGTATACTGGTGCATAAACACGTATGCAACTAAAGATAAAACTTAACAAACACGTAGTGCACGGCTACAACGGTTACAGATGGACCGTGTACCAATTGCTTTACGCCCAAAGAGTCCACCACGCATGAGTCATTCAGAATATATGTATGCACCGGTACTATGATACACTACATCATAAGGTTTATCTGCTAGTTTTCTTGTCTTATGCTGTTTTCTGGTTTTTTGGATTGCAAAATGCACGATGATACAACGTAAAAAACGAGAATCAACACTTATCACGGACATAAATCAATTACAGATTTCATCACCTGCTATAACCTGAATTGGTTAACCGAATGCATACTTGTGTACTTTCAAAAAAGTATGACCCAGATCCGTATATATATATATATATAGATGTGTATGCATGTAATGTACATGGACACTCTCATCTGTAAAAAAGACAGCTGTTTACACATGCTGAGGTCTACAGTAGCTCACACTACAGCGACTCTAACAAACCGTGATGCAGCACTTTTACGATGATGTAATAAAATAAGGTAAAGCAATACAGCATCATACTATATTGGTCAGGTATGATGTAACATACCATTTCGTGCCATAGAAATAGAAGTATAGAAACATGGATACATAGATACATCTGTTCTTTGTTGTGCAATGTACGGACCAGAAAACAATCATGTCAAACTAAATAACACATAACTTAGACGAGTGCAGTTCTATGCAATACAGAGTAGAAGCTGAAAGAGAACAGAAGCATATCGTACTATATCATTTCATGTCATGTCATAGCATACCAGACCACATCATGTACACTACCCCTCTTCGTGCACGTGTGTATGTATGTCTGCTTGCTGGCTTGCATGCATGCACGGCGGGCCTGGGTCGGCTGCTGTGCTTGGTCCCGAGATTCTTGTGTGAGACAGGGACTCCAAGCTGCCGCCGTCCTTTGCTGGCCTGGACAGGGTACCCAAGAAACTGGTTCCTGCGAAACCTAGTCTAGGTTGGGGATTTGAGGAATTGTGGTCTAGCGCCACTCATCACCTCCTTCTGCAGGTGACGTGCACCTCTGTCGCATTGACTCTGGAGGGTCTTGGGCACCACAAAGATTCCAAGTCGGCTGCGTCCAGGCGCTATGTGCCTCGAAGGCCGGAACCCGAGACGTTTGCGTTCAGTGCATATCTGACACTACAAAAAAATGGTGGTCCTATAGTTTGAAAACATATTTTGAATGAGCGAGTACTGCCACTCCTGGCTGCTGGCCACACGAAACCCTGCAAGACTTCCGTCTCCGTTTTTCAGCTACGGTCTCAAGGGCCCAAAGACGTCGAAAGGAAATCAACTGTTACAATCCTACCAACTTGTATTTTATAAGCAGTCTTAAGTAGTATTGCAGAATTGCAGAACTCAGGACCGAGAGTCTGCATCACGTTCTGCTTTTGCATGCGTTGCGGACCATTTCTCGAGAAGAGCAGCAAAGACTGTTCGAACAGCGGCGGCTTCTGCTTCGCCTGTCTGCTCCAGCCACTGCAGCTTTGTTGCCATTTCGTCTTTGCTAAGCCGCTGAGATGCCGACAAAGCCAATGCACACTTCGCCATTGCCTTTCGATCCTTTTTGTTCCACGCACAGCCAGCGCCCATGCCATTGTCGCTCCACGCAGCAGTCATGTCAACATGGTGGCATTCCCATTCTTCCGCCGGCAAATCAGCCATGTTTTTGACTTGCGCCCGGACCCCCATGTACTTGTCACCTTGCGCTGGCAAGTGGGCTTGCAAGGGCCCCCCTCCAAAAACGGTATTTTTACCCATGCATACAGCACACTCTTCACATTGAACCAACCTCTGAGCAAGCAACAACGCTTCAACTTCGCCCCCGACCCTCAATGTATTCATGGTCAAGGTTGCGGAGATTGTGGGAGTTGTGCCTGGTTCGAATCTTGCGCACAGGATGAGGCCCGGCTGCGAGTCGCAATGTTAAAGTCAAGTAAAGACTGCCTGACATCCCGAACATGAAGTTTTGTAACTGACAGCCCTCGCCGTCGAGTTGCGTGAACAAGCATCGACATGCTCTCCATCCGCATCCACATGCTCCAATAACTGGATGTTCGCACACAGACTCTCGGCTATCCAATGCGCATGCATTCGCAGAGCGCTAGCCTGCAAAGGTATGTGATGTGGTGGACCAACCAAGGTATGAAGATCGAAGAGAGTCATGACGAGGTATGAGGGAATAGCTACACCAATCCATAGTTTAAACTGCTCGGGAAGGAGAGTGCAGGGTTTTCGGATATGCTACGGAACACCAAAATAGTCTTGGTTTTGTTTCAGGCCCCTGCAAGTGCCGAGATGGGGGCCGTATGCTCAGGTTTGCTTTTGCAGATCGTGAAACGGGAATCCTGGACAGCGGTGGAGGATCAGTAGACTTGAACAGGACCATCCAAATTGCAAACCCACATAAGTATAACTACGACCCATTAGCTATTAAGTCTCTGGCTTTAGATTCCAGGGAAGCTAACGGCTTACGGATCCAGTACCAGTTCAGCCTTCAGCGTTAATGATTCAGCATACATCTCCCCCCGAAAAGGCCGTGACCGTAACGTTATGAACAACCTCACCTCAAATAACAAGTAGATCCTATTGGGATCCTGCGAACTTAAGAAGCGTCATGCAATGCCAAATTAATCAATGTCTCCCTGAACCTTCTCGGAGTCGAGTTTGCTGGGCCACACCAAGCAGGGAACCGCCACATCGCCAGAGAAGCAGCAGTACAAATGAGGTGTGTCCATCACAGGTTCCCTTTGGACCCTGAATCCTAAACCCTAAATCCTGCAGAGTGAGCCAGCCACGAGCGTAAGATGCAGGCTGCTTTGTAGCCTACACCCCACTTCTCGAACGGAACTCGAAATCCAGAAAACGCGAAGCAGCACGGGTTGGACGCCAACGTCAAGCCGAACAGTCATAACACATCTGATCCCCAAGCTCACATCACACTTGTGTTGAGGCGGTTGACTAGCCTTGGGAGGCAGAAATGCATGTGACTATTGCACATAGAGTAATTAGAATTTTCATAGTCGTAGGCCATGATGTAAGGAGCAATGAAACTCAAACCCACAAAGCCCCCAACTTGGACCCTAAACCCTAAATCTTAAACCCTAAACCCTAAAGACCCGAATCAGGGTCCGGAGTGCACTGCTGGGGGTCTAGTTCAGGGTTGGGATGGGATTAAAAACTCTGATGTCTAGTCCTTCTTGAGTTTTAGGTACCCATAAAACTGTAAAATGTTAACTAGCTATGACAACGGAGTGAAGTCCATCATTTAACAAGGCCACAGGAATCCTTGTGGCTACACATACAAAGGACTTTGGGGCTTAGGGTGTACCGTTCCGTCGCGGATTCGAGCAAACACAAGCAGTTGGGGCTTGTCTGCTGTGCCATAACAACTACAAGAAGAACTCGACATGAACAAGCAATACATCGCTGTGGCATGTACTGCTGCTGTGAACTGTACTGCTTCGGGTTAGGAAGGTGTGCGCTACCCCATGACTGTGTCGAGATTTAAAGATGATTGCAGAAGCAACTATGGCAACAATGGTAAGCCAACACTCATTCAAGGTCCGGCTTGGATTTTGCGTGGCATTTTGGGCCAAGGGCTTCGGAATCCTCTTGAAGCAGTCTTGTCTGTGGTTCCATTTCTTTGGGCGTTGGAGAAGCAGCCAGACCCAACTCCTCGACGAGTTTGTGGGAGATGCCTATAAACAAAACCATAACACCCAAAAGCACGCCAACGCAACAACAGAAAAACTACCATTTCACGGAGCATGCACGACTTCTTTACTTTCAAAGAGCAATCATGCCGGATACCCAGGTCTAATTATTCCGGCCTCTTCTATAACTACATATCTGTAACGTCCCCTTATCCTCGTAACTTCGGCCCTAAATCAGGAGCAAGCGCCGAGAGGGGCCTCCATCCATGCCATGTTGCCGATGAGCACTTGGTGCTCAAGAACAGAGGCCTCAAGTTTCTGGGTTACGATTTAGAAGGGCCCCCATCAGGGCTATAAAAGGGGGTTCCTAAACCCATTTCTACAGAGTTGGGGGTTGGGCTTCGGAGCTGAAAACTTGAGAGCTCACGGCTCACGGTGCATCTAGACCGCCCTTCACCCGGCGACTTTCCGGTTGGCGTGGCCTGGGGAGATGGTTCCGGAAGTTGCCGGCGTATGTACTTAGAGGTTCATGGGACTTAGTAACTAACCCTTATTTTGAAGGGACTCATATTTTAAGGCTTTTGGGCTCAAAGACCCTATTATAAAGGGCTTTTGAGCTATTTTGATGCTAAGGGTAGGGTTATAAACAAGGTAACTAGACTTATAATTACTTATAACCCCAATTAGGGTACTTATAACCTTACTTACTAAGTCCCATGATCCTCCAAATAGCCGAAGCCTCGACCCTAGACACCACCGTAACCTACCAAACTTTGCTTGAGGGTGTGCTGCATGTCTGGGAATCTTTCCAACACAGAAAGGTTAATGGACCGCCCAGGACCCTGCACTGCATGCCTAAGCAGAAACCTCAAATATCCCTAAATCGGAAATCCTCCTTGAACTCTTCCAGAAGACCCCAAATACGATGCAGCATTATGCTTTTGGGTCTTCCTGGGCCCCCGAGGTACGTAGAGGTCCCCACTGCCCCGGCAATCTAAAGAAACCCTAGAGCCGAAAACAGGCGCTGGGCTATTTGAATGCACCCGTGGCCCCTAAGAACGGTCTGTAACTGGTGCAAAACCGTGTCGAAGGCTGTAACTTCTAGGAGCTCCTTAATCTTAGGGGCTTTGGGTTTAGGGTTTAGGGCTTAGGGTTTTGGGTCCCTCGCTATAATAGGATTTTATAGGCCCCATGGAAAGGAACCCGGTAAACTAATCTACGCAAACGCTAGGTGAAAGGACGACACCAACCTATGAACTCCCGCGCCCCAGCTCTATGATACGACTATACAGCAGTCTCCAAATCCCTCTCGGCACTCTTTCTCTCTCTCTCGCTCTCTCTCTCCCGCCCTTTGTCTCTGCAATGAATGTAAATACAGCATGGATACATACATACATACATACATACATATATATATATATGCATGTATATATGTTGTATACACATGTGTATATATTGCATATACTAATTTATTCATGTGGATGTTTATACAAATGCCAGTACATGAGTATGCATGTATGTATGTATGTATGTATGTATGTATGTATGTATATGTGTGTGTATGTATATGTATGTATGTATGTATGTATGTATGTATGTATGTATGTATGTCTGTATGTATGTATGTATGTATGTATGTATGTTGGACAAAGCGCTGTCCGCAATACTGTTTGGACAGAATGTTGAAAAGCAGGAGCACTTGCCCTTCTTCGCTGGTGTTGGCACCGATGCAAACATGCGCCGTGCTTTTTCAAAGGATTTCCTTCCTGGCAACACCAAACGCGCAGCACGGTATCTGGGAACGCTGTTGCATTTCAAGGGCAACTTCAACATGGAGATCTCCAACCGAATTCAAGCTGCTGACGGGAGCTGGGCGATCATGGGAAAATTTTGGTCCCATGGCCGCGTGGCCAAACGACCTCTTGTTCTCATGTTTACGGCCCTGGTTTATAACACCTTGTTGTCTGGATTGGAGGCATGCTGTCTTACAAAAACACAGTTGCAACGACTTGACACCAAAGTGCTGTCATATGGCCGCAAGCTTATGCGCGGAGAAGCATGTGTCAAACTCGTATCTGAAGATGGCTCCACTGAGTTTCATGCATTACCCAGTCGCAAAGTGTGGCAGTATCTTGGGTTGGTGCCTACAGCAGTGGAGCTGGCCGTCAGACGACATCAGTTTTGGCAGGCGGTTGCGCGCAGTGTTGACTCACACACTCCGGTGCTGGCTGTTGTATTCGGTTCTTTTAAATGGGAGGCCACATCACCGCTTGATGAAGCAGGCAAACT